CGAGCCCGCCGAGGCGCCGCCGAGCTGCAGGGCGAGACGGGCAGGTAGCACAAGCCCCGCGAGCAGCCTGGGAGCAGGTCAGCCGCGGCCTTGGAAGTGATCCTGGGTGTCGCCCGCCCTCGCCAGCGTGTCAGCAGGGCTCCCTGCTCCGGGCCCGTCGCTCGGGGCTGCTTGGGACACCGCAGCGCCAGGCCCTGCCCTACCCAGCCTGGGCTGCGCGGGATCCTCTGCCCGACACCGCAGCAGAGCGGGCACCGGGCAAGCGGGACAAGCCCCGGCCCCAGCACCGGGACGGGCGGGGGCGGGGGCCGGGGCCGGGCTGGACCGGGCCTGCTGGTGCGCCAAGCCACGCGGCCGTGCAGAGCCTTCCCTTCCAATAAACGGGTGTGATTTACTCCAAACGTGGACGCGTTTTATTCCCTAATCCCATCGATATTATTGCCCACAGATGAGCGGGCAGACAAAACTCAAACGTGTGCTTCGTATTAAGGAAAACAGACTCCAGTTCTGACCTCACCAATCCCTCTCTCCCTCTCGTCGGGAAAGCACAGGGACAAGATCACCATTTCGGCGACAAAGCGAATCATTTCCAAATGAGCTCCTTACCTTCCGTCACCCATGATCTCGCTAAACCTCACGTGCACATGCCAAGAGCCTGGGGATCGATCCCAAGGATACACGAGGCTTTTGCTTGGGGGCTGTTCAGAGCTTCGAGCACTTTCAGTTTTAGTTTAAAAACCAAACTCGCAGACAGCACAATGAGCCCTCTTCCACAACAGGCCCAACCCAACGGCCTTACATCTGGTTTTTATTTTGCAGCGCTTAACCGCTAGGCAAGGGATGTTGATCAGTGTATTTGTCAAGATTTAAATGTAAGGCAACGAAAAGAAGCAGCCCGGAGAAACGTGTTCGTTTCCACATCCCTGGGTTGGTATCACCAGATGTGGTGTCATGCCCGTGTAGTCGAGGGACCCTCCTATCAGCTCCAAAGAGCTGATCATGCAGGCTTCCCTAATCTATCTTTTTAGATCAGAATAAAGAATAGTGGCTTGTGTTTATTTTTGGTTACAAACATCAAAATCATGATTAACAGTGGGATTATATATTATATTCATTAATAAAATGTCCCGCTCGAAATCCAAAGGCATTAAAATTTAGGCCTCATAAAATGGAGCAACAGCGCTCTCTAGTGGTCAAATGCAACCTTGATCGGAATCAGACAGCTTTCACTCCTTGCTGTATATATATTTCCCTACTTTGATTCAAAAGTAGCTGACTATTTTTTTACCTTTGGATTCGATGATTTACCGTCGTACTTGCTCTTATCTTCCTCATTCAACCTCCGAAGTCATTTCCACAGCTTATACCCAACCCAAAGAATGTACATAGCAGCAGTTTTCACATAGAGAAAAGAAGGTTGTATAGACCGTGGTATATAGCCTGAATCCTATGCCTAGTAGTCACAGAAAAGCCTTTTACCCAGACTTCACCGTGTCATGTCTTTTTAGCATATTTATACCATCCTTTAATTCCCCCCAACTGTCTAAACATAAACTATAAGTGTCCCCTTCACACAGGACAGGCGGGAAAAAAGAAGTAGATGTCTACTAAGCCAGTCTTTGCGGACCGCTGCTATCACGATTTTGATCCCGATTCTCTACCTACTGCACAGCGATTATCTGATACTTTCAACGTCAGGATTTCCCCGCCTTGAACTTGTTTTTGATCTAATTATATACATTTGCACTGCAGACGAAACGGAAGACTCTTCTTTTGTTCAGCCCCCGCATGCTATTCCTTCCAAGTTTTAGTTATGGTGTAATAGGATGATTTGATATTTTAATTTTTAAATCACAGACGGCACACGGGAATCAGAGTGGGGCTGCGATGTCCTGGTGAGTACTTTGTTTCAGTGGAAGTTGGAGGCCGCCTAGTTGTTTCAAACGCCTATTTTTCCGCCTGCCATTTTGAAATAAGCAGAGAAGCAACATGCAAACAATGACAACTGTGACTCTGCCTTCGTGACCCAAAAATGATAAAATCAGGTTCGACCTATCTTGCAAGGGCTTGATTTCCGTATCTTCCCAGCACTCAGATAAAATCCACATAATGACGTATCCTTCTTGCTATAATACGGTTTAGTGACATTAGTTACAGATCAATCAATACACGCTGCTATTTTCCAAAACATGCATGTGCTTGCCGTAGGATTAATCACCAAAACACACTTCTATAAACATATTTCCACAAATGCATTGATTTTTTTAAAGAAATCGCTTTATTTTTCTAACTTAGCGTCGTCTTTCCTTGCCTGCTCTGCCTTGGCCCAACGCTGACATGTTGAAATTTATAGTCCAGATTTTAAGACCTGAGTTGTCTGCATTTTTGTTTTCTTCTAACAAACACAAACATCAAAATAAGGTGGTTTCAAAGAAAAGCGCCATAGCATATCGTAAACTCATTAGGTCCAGACGTCTAGCCATCTCAATGGTTTTATTATACCTCGGTTCTTCCTGTTTTAAAAGAATTATAGGTATAGGGTCGACAATGGATGGGGAATCCATGCAACACCTTTTCCTAATACTCTGCTCCTTTGACTTTTTAAACAGAGGTAAACCGTTAAAAACCAGGTCTCTGCAACTCTTCTGAATCTTAAATTAACTGAACTGCTCATAAATATTTACGGATCCTTCATTTTAATGGTTGCTCTTTAAACAAAGCATTTTTTACAATGAACTTCATCTTAATTATCCTGATAAAGTCCTCTGTGTTTATAAATGCTGAAGGCAGGAGACTGGTTGCTAAACAGACCCGCACACACATCCCGAGCTGATAACTTGGTAGTGGTATGTGTCCATTCCGAGTCTCTGAGTTGTTCAGGTTAAATAGCACCGAGATTAGAAATAGGGACGGGGAAGATTTAAGAAAGCATGCATCATCTTAAATCATTGCCTGTGGAGGGCTATTTCGGAAATATTTCCTGAATTATTCCAAGAGATCACACGTGAAACCTCACTGATTTTTTGAAAGACAACTTGTATATAACATATTTCAAGAAAGATCATGTAGTAGGCGTATCTGCAACATATAACTGAAGCCAGGCCCTTTATGATTTGCTTTCTAGAGTAGGTGTTTACTCAGGATCACAGACAAAATGTGACTAGGTTAGGGGGTTGGAGTTTGCTTTTATTTCTTCAAATATTCTTCTGGATTAGGGTCTACTTGGAGACAGTTTTCATTTGGATATGAAAGGTGTAGTGATATGTTTTCCAAGCTCCTGTGTGTGAAATAAACGAAAGATCAATGTCTCTGTTGCTTTTTGAAAACCCAGGTTTTTTATGATAGATTAGCCAAAGTTACCCCAGGGTAACTGCTGGGGCTGTGCAGCATCCAGACCTCCAGACCCTGAGGAAATCATGGATTTGTTGTTTCATATGCACCACACAAGACTCTTTCTCTGGGGCATAAAAAGAAGACGAATGCACACATTTCTCTGATGATTGCAGTGATTTCATCTGATCAGGTCAGACTTTATTATGTAATAAGTGACAACAATCACAACAGGTCTCTAGTTAGAAACATGTGATGGCTAATACAACATTTATCAGTATCAAGAACTCCAACTACCCGAGGGATCAGGACATGTTAGGCCTACTGAAAACTGCTTCAAGTATGACACAACCTCCTAAATAGTGCACTAAAGGGCGGGGGGGGGG